TGTTTTTATGTGATGTATCAGTTTTACTAATTTGCGAATACTGTACCAGCCTTGCATCCCTGGGATAAATCCGACTTGATCATGGTGTATGATCTTTCTAATGTATTGCTGGATCTGCTTTGCTAATATTTTTTTGATTTTTAGCATCTATGTTCACCAGGAATACTGGCCTGTAATTTTCTTTATTTGTAGTGTCTTTATCTGGTTTTGGAATTGGGATAATGCTGTCCTCATAAAATGAGGTTGGAAGTGTTCCTTCCTCTTGAATGTTTTGGAGTAGTTTGAAGACAAAGTGTTAGCTCTTCTTGGAATGTTTGGTAAAACTCGCCTGTGATGCCGTCATTAGTGATTCTTATGTGAGAAAATTATTGCAAATGTGAAAGCCAAATGGTGATTTTTAAATTCTACAATTTCTTCTTTATTAGTTGTGCTATCCTAAAAAAGGAAATTATTCTTATCCAACACCTGTTAGTTTTTTATTTATTAATTTATATTATTATGCATTTGTTGAATCGTATTCTCTAAGTTATAATCCATTACTGTTATTCATTTTATAGGTTTGGGTGAGTTCATTGTTTTCACAGATTCTAAATGGTCACAGAGAAGCCAACTGGGAAATATATATAAAAGAAACACAGGAAGGAAAAACTGGAAACTAAGACCTAAAAGCATGTTTACCCATAGCAGGTGGGTCAGAGCAGGACAGAAAGTATGAGGATGGGAACAGTATAGACGATGATATATAACATCCTTTATACATTTAAAACCCAGGAGTTTGAATTGATAGCTCCCGTTCTAGTTTGACACCATAGAGTCCTTTCCAACCTCTTCTTTTCCATGTACAGAGCTCCTTTCCCAGAGTGAGGGTCACTTCCTTTTCCTCATTGGTTGCTTATGCACTGAATTGTTGGATACATGGTGACTTGATTCAGAACCTTGAACTGTTAATGCCATACAATGTACAACGTTAAGACATTGTTTTAAGTGTTTTATTTTTAATTTAAAGATAAATATAAATTCTGGACTCAACAATATCTTAGGTTATTTATTTAATTTTCCCTGTTACTCTAATATTGGAGTTTGAAAAATACTTAAGTACATTTGATTTTTTTTATTCTACTTTGCGTTATTAAACACCTTTAATATTTATGTTTTACTTGCAAAAGAAGCATAGTCACGACTACACAAATAATTTTACTCATCTCCTCATCTCTTCTGCCCCAACTCCTGTCGGTAAACAATTTCATTAGTTTCTAATTCATTCTTCCTGTGCTTCTTTCTGCTCAAATAGGCAGGCACATGTATATTTTATTCCCCTTTGTTTTTACATAAGAAGTAGCATGCTATACTCTTTCAAACATTGCTTTTTTCATCCAGCAATATCTACACTAATAAAAGAGAAACATGGTAATTGGCGTACGACTGCTACCCTATTCATTGGCTAATCAGTGAGATATGCAAATTAACTGTCAGCCAAGAT